ACTCGATTCCGCCCAGAAGATATCTCTCTCTCTCTCCTGAGACACTCGGTCTGGGGCTGGCTGGCTGGCTGCTGCTGCTCCGCTTTGCGATTACGATCACTTTTAGATCCAATATATCAGGGGAGCGTTGACGTTGTACATTGGGACGACAATTGATATAAGTTGTGGTGAAAAGTTTAGTGGCATTCAACGATTGCTTTGCTAGATTAAAAGCGACAGGGCAGCGCAGGCCTGGAACTGGGAGTTGTACATGGTCCATGGCGGAGGCTGGACCGGGATCTGAAGTCTGGACCTGACCACAAATCTTTCACAATCACAATGCCAAGTAAAACAAAACCGAAACGAACAACAAAAATGCGGAACAAAAAAGCCAAAAAAAAAATAAATAAAAAAGGAGAAATAAGTTAAGAAGCAGGCAGAAGGGAGACAAGTCAGCAGACAAATAGCCTCAAGTACGTGATCACCGTTTTTTATATATATTACGAATTTGTAGTACTTATTTGGGGAGGGTGTAGATTTTTCTTGTTTTTGCACTTTATGTCAAGTTGGGAGTATCTTTTTAATTGCAGATACAGCAGCAGCAGCAGCCGCCGCTACAGGAGCGGCTTGGCCCGTTAGCAGTTAAAAAGCTGAATTATGCGATCCTACGTGATGATGATGATGACAACCCGCCCGGAGCCCGGAACATTCCAATACGTCGCGCTACGCTTCAGATGCTATCGGGATCCAACAGATACGAAGACGGTGACGGCAAAGAGTCTTTGGTTTATATGCTAAGTGCCTTGTCACTTATTACGTATAAATTGGGAGGAAATAAAGAAAACGAAGATGGGATGCTCTTTGATTTTATTAAATTATAAACTATACAAAAAAAGTGTAAAGAAAATGTAGAAATATTACATAGACTCTATTTAAAAGAGAACAAATACAGGAACTACATTTGGTAATAAGATAACCCTGTGATCACGAATCTGAAGTACACTTTTAAAACCATCAAATTTACTTTTTAAAACCCCCATGATCCCCATTTACATCTACCCCTCTCTTAGTTAGAGTATATAGCAAGTGTTTATCAGCAAATGACATCTAATGAGTTAGACATCGTCTCTTAACGGGGTCCCCAAAAGTCTGAATCTGTGTGCCGAAATGCCGAAATACCAAAAGGTCTGGCTGGGGAGACGAGGAATCTGCGGCTGCTGAGGTTGCTCCAAGATATGAGTATCTCTGCTGCTGCTGCTGCTGCTGGCCCCTTGGTTGAGATCTGTCTTTGATCGTTTGACAGAGGCTGCTGCTAGCTTGGAACCTGTTGCCAAATAACTTGCGTAGTTTTATGTAGTCTTTTGGGTTAGAAATTCGAGTGAGTCAGTGAGAAATGGGGAAACTGTGTGTGAGTTTTTAGTAGCCACAAAGTGGTGATGGTGAATCAGAGACTATCAAATGAAATCTGCAAGTGCAACTTTACAGAAAAAAAAAAAAAAAAAAAAAAAAAACCCAAACTGTTGTCACCTTCTTTTAAGCAACGGAAATGATGATTGTGCTACCAAAGTGTTGAATCAGTTACTTTTTGGGCCTGGCCCGAATAAGAGATGACCGAAATTGATTAGAAAAGCTAAGAGGCATCACTTAAAAAATTAAAAATAAATTTAAACTAAACAGATTAATTTTTCCTCCACAAAAATTTCTAGTTTATAAATTAATAATGTCTAAAACATAATAAAATAATTTTGAAATATTACAAAAAAATTTTTAAACATTAATCAATGATTGTTAGAAGGTATTCCTGATTTTAAAAATATCATAAAATTATTCAAGCATAGAGAGGGAATAAAAAAAATCTAGTCTCATTTTTCACACCTTCTCTAATAATTTTCACACATTTTTCTTAAGTTTTTCTTGCCTTTAAAACAGTTTCCCTGAGCAAACACCCTCCCTAGCGAGTGGGTGGGCCAGTGAATCGCCCCCTCTTCTGACCATTTCCGATGTGTCGCCTCGGATCAGATCGGATCGGATCGACTTGGTTTAGTTTTGGCTTTGGGTTTCGGCCCAGGCTGAGGCCAGGCCTAAGCCAATGTGCGGCCAACAAAATCAGCGGGTGACGGCGCACACAGCGGGCCTCCGTTTTGGCCCGGATTTGACTCCGAATCCTAGCGAGTGGTGGTGACTCCAAAAGAGTGACTTTGGCCCGTTTCGAAGTCAAACTGCGTGGCCGCCGCCGCGTCGTCCTTTTGGCAAAGGCAACGGAGGGCAGGGCCAGGAAGGTGGAAACAGTTTAGGTTAATGCCATAAGCAGCAGCAGGAAGCGGCTCGGAATCAGCTTCGGCAGCGGTTAGCTGGAAAACCACACGTGCCTCGGAAGGCGACCACATGCCGGCTCCACAGCGGAGGTCAGAATAATAGAAGTGCCACCGAGAAATGCGAGACCAATCTTGGGTTTTGTTGTCAATTGCAAAAATCAAAAAAAAGGTTCGTGTTTTTCTGCGCTGTTTGAGGAATTCTCTTAAAATAAGGTTCTTGATGTTGCATTTTAGTATGTGTGAAATTTAAAATTTAAAGGTAATTTAAATGTTTGTTTTAGGGAGTTTGTTTATGAAGAAAAAATGTTGATTGTTTAAAAACTAACAGATTTTTAATAATTTTAAATTATATTAATTACAACAAATTTAAAAGTTTTATAAAATAATCTATTTTTGAGTAAATAGACTTTATATTTAATATACTATATATTTTATAATAGTTGGAATTTAAGACATTAAACATTTTTTAAAATTTTAAATATCCCACATATTTTATCACAATTTCCCAAACTAAAAAAAACCTTCCAGTTGCATCTAAAATTTCCTCTTATTTTCAAAGCCATCTTGCCTCCTTTGGCCTATTGTTCTGGCCACCTTTGTACCTGCCATGTGGCGATAACCACAGGCCACATCCGTATCGATATGCCGAACCACAGGTCAGATCCGAACCACAGGCCCTATATATCTATATCTGTCTATATGTCCTGGCCCACACTCGCCACAGTAGCTGTTGGCGCATTCGTTTCGCATTTGGAAACGCTTTCATTACCATCTTTTTCTTTGCTCTGCGTTCCTTGTCCTTTTTTTCCCCTGCATATCCTGCCGCGTGGCAGCGTCAACATTTAAATTTGTGGAAAATCGAACTCGAAATCGGAGTGAGCCAACAGCAGGAGAAAAAGGAGGAAGGAGGACACCTCCCTGGGGCAAAATGTTACGGCTTATCAAAACATAGTCAATATTTAATTAACACGAGAACACGCAGCGGAGTTTCGGAACTTGGAGAAATGATTTATGATCATCGCATGTGAAAACACTCTCCTTTCTATATCTCTGTAGTACCTCCCTTCTTTTTTTGTTGGTTTTCTGGTATTTACCAATTGTGCGAGTGCCGACAAAGGAGCAGTTGGTCTTAATAGTTTGCTTAATTGTTCGGTAAATAGTTAAACCTAAATGCTCGGTAAACGCAACAAATGAATTGATTATCGCGCATCCCTCACACACGCACCGGTACAGGTACAGTGAGTGCTTCCAAAAGGGGAATTTGTTGGAAAGTGAGAAGTTTCCTGAACACACAGAGGGCATACACCCACATAGAGGAGATAAGGAGAGGGTGATATTTTGGATATATATTGTTTTATTTGAATTTTATTTTAAGTTTAAGGAAATACTATTCTTAAAACTTTAACTAGAGTTTATAGTTAGGTTTATGGTAAGCTTTTGAATAAAATATAGAGAAAAATGGAAACCAAAAATAAAAAGATATATTTAATAGTGATTTTTTACTATTTAAAATTAATATTTTTATTTAGAAGAGATATTTGTAATACATATTTATTCAAAAATGTACTTTAAAAAATTTAAAATTATATTTTAAGGTACAAATGACGGTATAATTATAATTACTTAACAATTTTCCCCTATTTTTATTGCTAATTACCCCTCAAAAGTTGCCAATCTAGTAATAAAAAGAAACACCCAATACCAAGGCCGCGCGCACACTACGAGCTGAAAGCGGAGCTGAGATAAGCGAGCTGATAATTTCAGTGCAAATTTCTAAGCTCAGCTCCGCTTTCAGTGTGCGCGCTCTCATACAAGTAGTGTGTTTGTTTCAGAGAGCTGATAAGCCGTCAGCCGTCAGCTCCGCTTTCAGCTCGTAGTGTGCGCGCGGCCTAAGACCTAACAAATTTGTATAAACAGCAGTTAAAATAACAGTAAAATCAACACGACTAATCCTACCTATCCAATTAGCATCAATTAAAGTATTACAGTGGATTATTTAATTAAATTCAATTCATTAAACTTGCAAGCAAGTCCGCCAGCCTGCCCCCGCAATTGGTTTTTCCCTTTCGATCAAAGCAAAGGCAGGCCAGCAACAACAACCGTTATCCGAGATCAAAAGCAAATACAAAAGCAAAGTCAATAAAGACACACATACACATGTACGCCTAGGTAGTGTGTGTGAGAAAGACAGCTGAGGCCCCGCAGCATTTGCATTTAATTTTGCGCTTAAAAACACTTGAACTTCCTTGTTTTCTGTCAACTAAATGATGTTTTGTGTAATTTAGTAGTCACAGCTTATTAACACAACACAATTACTTGTTCATTTGCGTGTTTACAAAGGAAAAACCAGCACTTACCTTTCGAGTATGATTTTGCAGTAAAAACACCGAGAAAAGTCATGTTTTCCATAAAATCCACACTAAACAAACACTCCATTAGCAAAACACACTATTTACGATCAGATTAATAGCCCATAACGCATTTTTTATTAATATTTTAACACCGCTGGCCAACTTTTCGTGCAATTAAACAAAATTCGTGCCAAAAGAAGAAAAATGAGAAGAAGCAGACGCGCAGCTTGAAGTTAGCTGCGTCTCTCTCTCTCTCTCAGAGTGATCGCCAAATCAAACGGAACTTTTCTTATCTATTGTGAACTCAGCCCTTAAAAGGGTCCCATCTATTGTGACCTCAAAGAAACACACTTTGTTTTATTTTTTTCTTTTTGATTTTCTTTTTAATTGTATAAATATCGTTTATTTTTAATTACTTATTGTTTCGCCGTTTTAACGCTAGGGTTTTTTATGTATAAATTGCGGTTTTATTTTAGCTGATTTATTTTGCGAATAAAACAGAAAATGTTTAGAAGGGATGATGGCATTATTAATTATTTTATTATTATTATTATTCATAAATAGCGGAAAAACATTTACAATCTTATTGCCGGGTCACTTAAAAGAAAGGAAACAAAAAACAAATAAACAATTTTTGTTGTTTTTTCGTTGCTAAAATTTGCGCTTAAATTTCGCCCTTTTTCTTATTTTTTCTTTTCTCATTTTTTATTTATTTAAAATTTAAACTTAAACAAAACAATCGCATATATCGTAAATATTTATTTAATAATTGTTTTTTTTATTATTTAATATTATTAATTATTATTATTAATTTTATGTAATACATTTTCAACGTGTTTGCTTTTAGATTTTTAAAAATACAAATACTTATGACGTACGTTTTTGTGTGCGGGTGTGTGTTCGTGTTTTGTTTTTTGATTTTTTTGCAATTTTAATATTATTATTAAATGGTAATTAATTATTGAATCAATTTTTAAGGCAAGATAATTGCAGCTGAGTTGTTGTTGTTGTTGAATGTTGCTGGCGTCATGTTGCTGGCTGGCCTTGTTGCTATGCGGAAAGTACAAAAAGCTGCAGCTTAATTGCACTTTCACTTGGCAACAAAAAATTAAGCCAGCAGCAACATTGTTGCTCAGTTACCATGTTGCATTATTTAAGATGATTGTTGTCTTCATGTTGCTGGGGAGTGCGTCTTGGTAGATTGTTGCTGCGCTGGAAATGCTGATATGTTGCTGATACATGTTGCTGATACATGTTGCTGATGCGGGAATGTTGCTGGATACATGCTGCTGATTGTATTTAATATTTTAAATTTCTTTAACATTTAACATTGCAGTTTGTATAGGAAAAATTCTGCATAATTTAAAGAAAATATTTCTTTGCTCTTTAGATTTTCTTTAATGTTTTTCCTTTACTTTTACTAAATACTCTGGTTCTCTGTTTAGTTAATTGCTGATTTGTGTTGTTGCTTCTTCCTCTTCTTCATTCACTTCCCATAGCAGCCACGCCCACAGGTGTCCATGTGTAGATTTCTGCAAATATTATTTAAAATATGGTTGTTGTTGCTGTTGCTGCAATATACATGTTGCAATAGTTTGGAGCAATGTTGCCTTTGTGGTGCTGCGCCTGCGCAACATTTTCTTGGCTTGGTTTTTTATCTATTTTTCATTTTCTTCTTAATATTCTCTTTAATTCTTTAGTTTTTTAATTATTTTCAGCTGTTGATGGGAGTGCAGTTTTGTATAGACCAAGATAACCGTAAAGATTTGGAAACCAACACCTGAACCTTTAGCTTATAATCCGTGATATTCGCTTGTGGCTGTGGCTGTAGATTGCAGATCTAGTAGTTTTAAGCAATATTTTGCAGAATATATTTATTGGATATATTTTTTTGACTTATGCCTAGGGTGGTGGTGGTGGTGGTGGTGTTGGTGCAGTGAAGAAGAAGAAGTAGGCGTGGTGTGGTGTTGCTGTTGCCGCTTAGATCAGATACCATTCATTCCAGTATTCAGTTTATTCAGTATATTCAGTATTCAATAATCATTCAGTAATCAATATATTCAGTTTTGTGTTTTTTTTAGATATAGCTGTGATATAATATTGCGTGCTGTTGTTGGTGCTGCGGTGCTTTTAGATATCGGTTTTTACTTTATATATATATATATTGCTCTGTGTGTTGTGGTTGTTTTTTTTATATATATTTATATATATCTTTATATATATGGTTTTTTTTTAGCTTATCGCCAAACACACTGACTACATCTACAAAATAGAAGAGAGAGAGAGAAAAATAGAGTATAAAATCGTGATGTGGCTGAAGGTTGTTCTTATTATTATTTTTATTAACAAAAAGCTTTGTGCTGAATGCCCCAGAAAAAAAGTAATAATAATACATGATTTTGGCTCTTTTATAGTTGGTTAGACATGACTGTGTGTATGTAATAGTGCGCTGATATAGTATGATTAAGCTTTTTATCAATAAAACAAAAAAAAAGAGCTTTTTTGATGGTGAAAATGAGACGTTATCTGAAATAATTTATCGAATTTACAGATAATGAATTTGGTGGGATTTTGTTAAGTTCTCTATAAAAAATATTATTATTTATTATAATTTATACAATGTTTATTATTTAGATTTATTTTAATAGCTCAATTTGTCAAGGCAATTATTACAATAAAGTCCAATTAGGCTAATCGTTGATGTAAAAATTGATTTAATTAATTTAAATATTACACAAACAGAAAAGGAAAATTTCAGATTTCTGGTTTATTTGTTTATACTTTAAGGTATTAAAAATGTAACTAGTTTTTAAACAATCAACAGTTCAGGGGCTTCTTTTTTTCCAAATGCAAATAATAAATAAACTTTCCCTCTCAAAAGTAAGTCCCCTTTTTGAGTAAACACAAATTATAATATCTGGCTCGCATTACTTCCCCTAAGGGAATACCATTACTAGTTCACACATTATTTATTTTTATGTCTAGAACCAACACCTTTTAAAAATAATCTAAAATATGTATAATTTCAGTTCGTTTAAATCCTTAAGTCATGCACTTTTCTCTAAGATATTTTATGAAATACTATTTATATATATTTACATTTTATTTAAATATGATAATGAATATGATTCAAGCTGATTTTATTTATTCCAGGTATAGTTAATGATTTAAGGCAAAAGAGAAAATGAATTCAATGATTTTGTTGTGATCTATAGCTTAGAAAAATAGTAGTTTAATTAAAAATTATAATAGAAAAGAATTAATTACATTGCTTTTTTATTTAAGAGATTAAAATACTTAAGCAATAAGCCATTAATAATAATAATAATTAATTCAGCAATTAAAGGTATTTTCTTAATTTTAAAAGTGAATAAAACTCTTGAATATTTGAATAAAAAAATTCTAAAAAATTTGTAATGGCTTAATGTTGCCTATATATTTTAAAGGTATGTATTATTATTTCCATAAAATTAAATTTTATCATTCAAATTTGTAAAATACAAAATTCTTTTGTATTTAAAACGTTTAATACAATTTAAAGGCAATAAATAAAGTTTGAAAACTAAAAAAATGTAATTTAAAGGCGAGGTTTTCGAAAATAAAAATATATTACAATTAAATTTCTTTAAATTTAGTTTGTTTTTAGCAGTTTTCAAAGGTTTAAAAGTCATAAAGAATTAAGTTCTCTACAAATTACAAATAGAAATGCAAAATTTATTTAAAAATCAATTCAATCTCCTAGAATTTTCACTTATTATAAAAATACTTATTAAATTTCCTTGTGGCTTAAATTAAATGTAAACTCATTTATTCTTACCTGTGCTGACGCAGGTTGTCGCGCTGCTTAAAGTACTTGCCGCACACCTCACAGGAGTAAGTGATCTCGGGTGACTTGTGGGTGCGCTCGTGGATCATCAGGTTGTACGGCTTGGTGAATCGCCGCTGGCAGTACTTGCAAATGAACTCGCACTTTGGACGCATCTTGCGGCGAAAATCGGACCGGCAGTCATCGTTGTCGATTCGCATTACAGCAAACATTTTGACAGGCGATATGTGTATACTTCTCCGTCGACAAAAAACAACACAAAAAGCTCCAACGTTTTCTTCTCAGGTGTACTCTGCGCTCTCAGGTGCTCCGAACTGAGGAGCCTCGCTCTCGTGTTCTGTGGATTTTCTATGGACGGCACTCTGAACTTTTTTAGCCCGCTCCAAAGTGCTCTCTCCTTAGGGGGGTTTTCCACTCAAAAGGGGTATTATTTTCTGTATTTTTTTATGATTTTTTTTCTGCCACCTCTAATCGCTATCTGGGAGATAACACCTCGCTTTAATTGCTGCCTTTTTTCGGGCTGATTGGTCGTCGCTGAAAAGCGGCAACGTTGCTTGGTCGTTCCTCCTGCTGCTGCTGCCGGGGCTTTATCTTTTCTATATAGCTCTGTGATTTCACCTCTCTCCTCCCCTTTTTTTTTTTTGTTTTTGTTTTTGCTGCCGTGTCCAGGTGACCAGTTGCTGTTGGTGGGCGTCGCTGACTTTAAGGTTTCAGTTTTGTTAGTTTATGGCGCACTTTAAGGCAAACACCTAAAAACAGAGAGAGACACAAAAAGTTTAAATAAAGTTGGCAACACATAACGCCTGCGACAGCATTTATGGGTAAATAAATTTTAAGCGAAAATAATATACCTAAATAATTACGTTGGTGGAAAAAATTATTAAGAGATTTGTGAGATTTTTTAGAAACTATCAAGATGCTAACTCAGATGTGTTATATTAACAAAAATCGAAATATAAATAATATAACAAAGAAAAAAAAAAACGTTATATCGAATTTTTACCTAATAAGCAAATAATATTTTATTTAATTTATTTTCCTTTAATTTTCGAGTGTATTTGTTGTATACATTATAGATTTATCGATCAAATGTGTGTATTCGATTACCGCGTAAAATATTCGTACACTTCCATATTTTTGATATTTTCTGTTATTCCTAACAATGAAATTTTGATTCTTATAAATTTTAAATAATTTATTAATATTTTTTGTATACTTATTAATATTTTTAATATTTTAAAAATGCAATCTCAATATTTTTATTTAAAAATAAAGCTTCAAAAGTCGTTAAAAAACACTGCAAATAAAACATTCATTAAAATAAAGCAACACCTATTCCACAAATACCTTAATTTAACTTCTGTTACTTTATTAACCCCCAGTAATTTATGATGCTTTTATTTTAACCACAACTGTTTACGTATGGACATTATTTCTTATGGATACAAGTTGTCTCAGAGAGATCACGCAACATGAAATCGACAATATGAGTCATTAAATGAGCCACAAAATCCCGCACCTCGGACAACGGCGGCAGTGTTGACATTTACAAATCACCAACGCCGACGTTCAGAGACTGTACTTAACTTCCGCAAACACAATTGTTCAATTAGTGGGGCGACGGCAGCACTTGTTTAAGGAAAGCTAACTAAGTGAAGAGGGGTACCTTAAGGGAATGGTATTTACAATAAATATTTGAGTAGTCAGTGTTTCTATACCAAATTTCAGAACAATTCGCTGAGTAGAAACCAAGTTATCATAGGTTGGAAAGCAAAATCAAGCTGAAAATTACTTTTAAACATTGCTCTTTTACTTAAAATTCCTCAGAAATTATGTTTTAGAATCGCTAGTTCTTATTTCCTTTGCCAAACCATTAAGATCTTAATCCACCAACTCAGTTATACCTCAAAATTGATGGGCTCACTCAATTGTCAGCTCGAATTACACCTATCTGGAGGTTTCCCTGGCTCTGTGTTCCCTTTTGTCCTGAAAGCCACAGACAATTTCATCGTCATTCGACGCATTCAGCAATGATGACCAAATAGAGTGCTTAACCCCGGAGAGCAACCCGTGGCTAATGCTGCCTGCCTGCTCCACTTAGGCCCACGCTTTCCAGAGACAAAAACCAAAGCCAAAAGCAAACAAATCCGAGTCCAAATCCAAAAGCAAAGCATAACCAAATGCGAGACCGATCCGAGGCAGGGCAAGAGCAGACCCGGACCCAAAGAATCCATATCGAATGGATGGCCTTATGCAGGCGCCCTGTGTCGCATGATTAACGGCGTTAAAATGCCAATGTGACGCCACATTGTGTACACAAATTAACATTGGAGGAGTTTCTTTTTGGCCAAGGCATTTCCAGGCCCCAGACATGACCAATGCGATCAGCGCGACCCAAGGCCCCAGCTCGAACCCGAACCTTAGCCAGAGTTCTCCTGGGGCACTGGGAAAAAATTAGGGATGATATGGGAGAATCTCCGGGAAGAACAAAATATATAAAATGGAATGATTTTGATATGAATATTAAATATAAAGTCACCAGAAATTAATGATAATTGCACGTTTCCTATATTGAAATCCGATAATGCAACTGTTAAACATGGATTTACATCGACTAAAGCGTACAACATCGATATTTTATCGATATACTGGTTTATTTATAAAATAAATTAGAATAAGTCAGAGTTCAAATAACGATATCTATCGGCTTTATCGTCCTAAATCAATATTCTACCGATATACCAAGAAATTTGTTAGCTCTGAAAATCGCCACAGTATATCATGTACATTGACTTCAAGGTATAACTAAACTTCCCATCTCAACCCCAACATTTTTCTCAGTGCCTGTTCTCAGTCCGGGACACTCAGTGTTATAATTTGAATATGTTTAGTGGGCATTAATGTTATAATGACAATAACTACGTACCGTCTGCGGCCGGTGCAGGCAACCCGCTGTGACGTTTGCCTTTTGTTGTCAACGTTAGCTCCCCAAAACGAACCCGGGTTCCCATTCCCCCATTCCCAATCCCAAAACCCATTCGGTTACCTTCTTCCCAGCCGCAGTCCCCAGAAAGTGTTCCAGCTGCGAGCTGAAAGCACCATATAACATATAAATAAATATCGAAATATATCGGGTCTCGCCGAGAGACGCTTGTCGCTACCAGTCAGCGCCTGGCTTTTGTTTCGCAAAACAAAAAAGAAAAATTCCCAAAAGCGAAAGAAAAACAAAAAACGAACTGCCACTAAATCTGGGAAATATATATCCTGAAAAAGAATATCCAGCGGCGCCGAAATGACAAAAATAAAATTACATAAAAAATAACAGTTGTTAACTACCGCAACGCATCGATTTCGGCATAAATTTCGATTGGCAAGGCGCCAATTAAAAAAATAAACTTGTTACAGCCGCCACCTTAATGAAGAAAACACTGGTAGAGTTTTGGCAACTGTAGAGGATACCACTTGGCCATAACGCAGCAGGGGAGTGTACGCCAGAAGAATCCCCAAAGGGTTTCTCCAATGGCCAGCTGTGCAAATGACTCAGTTAATTTAGAAATTGCTGAAACTAACCATGGGAACTTGGGAGTAGATGGTCATAACATGATGAAATTTGGGATGGGAAGTTGTTTGGTTACTGGGAGCAATATTATTAAGGTTTCAATCAAGTCTAGCTAGCTTTAAAGTTGTAATCCTAAAAAATCCAAGTCAAAAAATTCATCTTATTCCTCACAAAATCCTTTTCAAATCTCCAAAAACCTCAAAGAAAAAGGCGTCACCTGGAGGCACCTTCTTCGATCCTTTTTGGCGATCTCCAACTGTTAGTATTTGGCAACTTGCAGATTGCAAATCCGCTTAACACTAAAGCGATAAAGAACCCAACGAACACCCACAGATCTGGCCAAATATTGTATAATAAACTGTTGTCCAAACGCCAAAGATAATCCCATTTAATCCGCACTGGAAATAATTACACAGAGAGCACACGGCCACAGGACGAACTGGAGGAGATCTTTTGGCACAGCATGATCCTTCCTCTGGGTGAAGGGCATGCGAAAGGCGTTAATGCTGCGTGAAATTAGATTTGCAGAGCGATGGGAAAGAGAAAATAAAGATGGCCAGCAAAAAAGAGAGTGAGAGAGATCTGTCAGATACAATATCTGCAAGCAGAGTAAGTGCGTCGGATGGGACTATTCCACGAACCTCAAACTCAAAGTTACAGTTTAACACCCCGAGATAAATGTGTAGCGGGTTTCGGGCGATAACAGGGCTCAAAAACTGCATCCAAAAAGGGCTCAGAGTGACACACACGTCGCAGGACGGCATGGGACATGGTCAAAAGCGATTACCACACTTCTTTCACCTTCTTTTTTGTTATTTTCGTAGGAGGCGGACAGTGAGTTGGCAAGGTGCCATTAAAAATTACAACCGAAAAGTGAAAAAAAAACCGAAGCGAGAATAAATGACAATAAAAGGACATAAGGTTGAAGGGACAAAGGCACCGATGATTCCATTTGATACGAATCTAATTGTGCTAATGGCGCAGAATTCTCGGGAAAAACACCCACGCACACACACACCCTTAGGTCGGTGGAAATACAATTAAGGATGTGTGGCACTGCCACTTCAACTCGAACAAAGGACTCCTTGAACGTCGAACCCCAAACACACCACAAGACAACACAGAAGACACAAGACGAGGGATCCTCTTTTCTCTTGGGAACGAAAGTCAATTTCCTTCGCTTCTCACCTTCCTTTAGCTGTTAAAGATATGACAGTTGCTCAAAAAAAAAAAAAAAAAAAAGAAACGATGGCTCAGATTAGAGCTGCCAGCTGAGAGCGAAGATCTTCCACCATTTACCGTAATCGCTTAGCTAATTAGACTCTTAATTGATGAGGCACGGCGGGCGGTCTGTGGCAGACGAGGTCAAAGATCATCAGCAGGCACAGTTGGAAATTCGGAAAGGTGAGAACAACGACATTGAAATGGTGACGGGAAAAGCGTTACAAAATTCCAGAAACTACAGACATTAAGTATCATATTTTCTCAAGTTTTCCAAAGAGTTTTCAGAGACTTTATAAGTATTATTTATGCTTTTTTTTTAAGTTTTCAACAAAGTTTTAAGAAGTAAAGTTTATTATAGTTTTAAAAACATATTTAATATATTATTTTTATAAAATAGAACAAATTAAATTAAAATAAAACGACTAAAAATCTCGAAATATCTTAAAAACCCTATTTAAATATTACCTTCAACTTTCTTCATTTTTAAAATAAAAGCAATAAATTGAAATTGAAGAATCCAAAATAAAAACAGCTTGAAATCTGTTTCTTTCACAAATTTTCCCTAGATTCATAGAAATTTCCCCCACAGGTGTTGACAGGTTTATCCTAATCGCTGGTTTTTCAGAAAAACCTAATCCCTTTAGTCACTCACTTAGGTTTTTTCTTTTTTTTTTTAACATCTGTTGGTAAACTTGGCATTTCATAATCCCACGAAAAATCCAACTCATGACTCATGAGTTAAAAAACTTGTCCAAAAAAACGGCTGCTCAGTTGAAGATGATGATCTGTTGGACATTTTTGGCGATGATTCGCTGTGATTTGTGCGTTCTTTTCAATTTTAACCCTCCAATGAGCTAGGCTTTGGTCCAATCTATAAGAAGTGCCTCTCCGCTGAGTCATCGAATTCTTCGATTCTTTGAGCTTCCATTGGTAGAGTTTCAGCTTCAAAATTGAAGACAAGCCGACGGGCTTTTGGAGATCTCGAAAAATATTATTCAAAACTTTAATTTATAGGAAAAATAAGAATTTTGGTAAGATTTTTGTTGGATATAACATAGCAAAATCCCCTAATGCCATGTTAAACAAAAATTACCATAAAAGTATTTTTGTATGAGGAATGTATGGCTTGACCTCTTTCTCTTTCCTTTTTGATCTTGAACGTGACCGGTCGTGTGTGCGTAAGAAATAAAACAATAATCAACTAAAATATCAAACATCATAAAGTGAAAAAATATAATTTGTTTGTGATTGGTCTGGGAAGGGTTGGAGAAACAATTAAGCGTATTATTTCAATAATTTTCAATAATTTTAGTAATAAACTCTTAAAGAAAAAGAAGACTGCGAATTTGAAAGTAGTTTGTTTCCATAAATTCAAAGGGTTTCTTCCTATAAACAATTTTAGATAGAAATCTCGAGAATATTTTAAAAATCCCAATTTCAAAACCCCAGAAAGCAAATCCTTCGCCTTAGACTTTTGACTCAAAAGAGCCCTACCATTCTTCGGCTTCTTGTTGCCATTCTTCCCCCTTCCAATTGTTGCACCGCTTCCAGTTTTACGCTGCTTTCATTGGACACACACACACATACGAAAAAGCTCCGTTGGCCCACACGCACGCCATATTAGAGACAGCACCTCTCTCCCTCTAACGCCAGGCCAGACAGGAGAGAGAGTGAGAGAGAGAGCGCCACACGCAACCGTGTTACGTGTTGGTGGGGTTTTCGCTTCTCCTTCTTTTCTTTTTCTTCATTTCTTGGTGTTTTTTCAGTTGTCCAATGAAAGTGGCGTAAAACTGGTAGTGACACTGGGTGCGTGGAGAGGGAGGTAGAACGAACGCCATTTTCCAGCTACCGAATTGTGGGGAGAAGAATCGGGGAAGAGCGGGAGCAACGGGACTTACCCAATGGGAAACTGGTATTACGCGTTCTGCAGGGCTGTTTGAGTAGTCACAGAGTAGATGAGGGATTTTTCCGTTCGTTTTTCTTATGTATTTTCTTATTCTCCTTAGGGTTTTCTTTCTACACACGAATAGATCGATCAAGGTACGTCGCGAAGGAACTGATGAGAGGAAACTGTATACGCACGCTCGAGCGGCACAAAGTTGAATGAATGAAATACTAATAACTGAAAGAAATAGTAGTCGCCTCTGCCGCTGCTGCTGGCTGCGCTGCCGCTGCCGGCGTCGCTGCTGGCAAGTTGAGGAAGCGACTGCGCCGAAGACCGAAGATCATCGCTCTGTCCCTGTCTGTTACTCAATTCGGTGGCACTCAATGTGTTCGCTCGTATGTGTGTGTATGTGTGTGTGTGAGTCATCCAGATCCGAAGTTGGAAGCGAAACGAAGAAAAACGAAGACCAGTAGCCGAAGCAAGTTCTTGAAAACCGAGCAAAGGGACGGAAAACTTCGGCTACTGCGTCTGCGCAACGTTCTAGCCATCCCTGTTGCACTCACTTTGTTCTTAGCTAAACGCGTAAGTGCGGTGGCTTGAACGAAAACCTCAACAGTAGCCACAAAATGGCGTCCCTTCTAACAGAAGCAAGCCGACAGAAAAAACGCCACAAAATGGCGTGCTACTTGCACTTACCTATTGCGAAAGCTGCGCTAAGTTTTTGCTGTTAGATTTACACACTGCAAGCGGAATATACACAGGTACAAACGCCGTTGGTAGCCCGCAACTGTTGGGTAATATTATTAATAAAATATATTTCACTTCCGAACGCTTCTGTGCGCGAGAGTCAACTGCAGAGTTACCGTAACTCAGTTACGATCGAAAACTTCAGCTTGATGGGTTGAACTTTTTGTGTTTTTCCTTTTTTCTTTTTCGCTCCAGTCTCTCTCACCCTCGCTCTGTCCCTTTCGCTCGCGTTGGCTTGAGCGGCAAACGAGTTTTGAGTGCTACCGCTGATTGGTCGCCGCCGACTGAGCCAAAGAGCGCGATGAGAGAGAGCGTGTGCGAGCGCATTGAGTTGAGTTGAGTGTTTTGCTGTGCGAAGGCGTGTTACCTGAGCTGACTGTTAATTAAGCTTAAGTAAGTCAACATTTCAATTAAGTTTAAGCGGCCTAATGAGTGCGTGAGTTCATCATCTTACGTGCAGGGCCCATAAAGAGTGGTTAAATAGCTTTATGTTCTTAATAATAAACTGTTGCTTGATAAGCTCGCTCTCTCTCAGGAAACAGTAACTTTCTTCCACACATACTTACACATAGAAGTGGGCGTGGCCTGGGCTTGTGGCGCTTTGGGCGGCGCTCTGTCCATCTCGCTTGCTCGCTCTCGTTCTCGCTCTTTTTAACTGCTTCTCAACCCGTTTTACGCTCAAGTGTGTGTGCGAGCGAGAGGGGCGGCTGGCTTTAAAAACCAGTGGCAGAGCAAGAGCAGAGCAACTGTATTACGCAGCACCGTTTTTTTCGCCCCCCCCTTTGCCTGTCCCTTACTAGCTGTTGCTTCTTCTCTTTTTCGTAGCTCCATTTTGTTTTATTTTCGAGGCCTGGGAAACTTTTTTCACTCGCCTTTCCTTTGGCTTTTGCCGCCTCCGCCTTTGCTCTGTCTGCCCTCTGCTTCCTCTTCTTCTGCTTGTGTGGCCTCTTTTAGTAGACAAAAAACGAGAAGAAAAAAACACCAAATATTGATGGTCTGTTTATCTTTTATTTTCAGTGCCTTTGCCATATCTGTTTATCTTTTACGATTTCTCAATGAAAACCGAAAACTGTCTTCATTCAACAAAAATACAAATAAAAAAACTTCATTAACTCTTGTGTGTTTTTAATTAAGTGAGCTTAAAAAGGATTTGCTTGACCATTTTTTTTTTAATTACGTTTTCGCCTGTCCATAAAGTTTAACAAATTATTTTTGCCTTCTTCTGTTGATTTTTTGGGCATTTTTAAGTGCAATCCGTTGGTTTTTGAGATTTCAACTCCAATTTTGATGGCTTCATCTCTGTCCGCCTCGCTTTTGTTTTTTTGTTGTCTTTTTTCGTTTCATTTTCTTTGTTTTTTTGGTTAAAATTTGCATTTTTTAAATGGGCAATCAGCGGACTCGAAAAGGAGATGTATCGACAATTGTCCAGAGCTTCCTTATGAAGGCGAAACTAATTAGGGAACTAAAAAAAAAAATAAAATAAGAAATGAAGCTGGAAAAATTAAGAAATCAATTTTGAGAACTCCATTTTTGGGGCTTGAAATGTGTTGAAATTTTTGTATTCAATGAAAAACGTTTCAATTTGTTGCTTTAATTATTTTTAAAAGGTTTAATTGGAAAAACATCAGCTTGTATAAACAGTTTTTCCTGGAAAGGCACAACCTGTGTCGTCGGTATGTGTTTAAAAATGGTTAAAATTTTTTAGAAAACTATATTTTAGAAAGCAAAATTCGTATAAACCTTTTTTAATAATATTTCAGAAATTTTTTAATATTAATACAAAATTAAGCGTTTTAAAATTAAGTTCTAGTATTCATGGTTAAAAAACAATAACTTCTTCATTCAATAAATTAAATATTTAAGTCTGAAAATTATCTTTTATATTCATTTTTTTAAATTATAATCTTTTTATTATATTTTCTGACTTATTTTATTTCATCCATTCTACCATTCATTTAATTTTATTTTTACTTTCAGAACATTCTTCTAAACCATTTTCTAAACCCATCTATCATCTATTTAGCCAATCTGTCATTTCACAAAGACCCTTAACAATATTGCTCAAATTCCTTTTGCCGGCAACTTTCCCAATATATTTTTCAATAAAAACGAATTAAGGCCGAAACAAGAATGCTGCGCCCGACAGACAGTGCACACAAAAGTATTAAATTTCATTAATTGCCAAAATTAAAAAGGCAAACAAAATCAGACAACATCAGCAAGGCAGCCGTAAAAAAAAAAAAAACGATTGGGTGAAAAAAATTAAAAATTCATACGGCAGCGATGCGGTCACATAAATTTTGGAGGAGCACAAAAAGACCAGAGAGCAACCGACAGATGCAAAAAAAATTATAATAAATATATACATAAAGGTAAAAATACAGAGATGAATCTGTAGAAGCGGGTAAAATGTCGAAGACGTGTGGGCGTTGAATGGGATCCGTTTGGGTTTATTTTTTATCATAAAAATATATGTATGTATTTATTTTTTGTTGTTAATAATAATGAAACTGGACCGCAGCCACCGCAGCAAGGCGTTGTCAACAGTTTTTTGGCGAGGATGAGATGAGATGATGACGATGACGACGACGACGAGGCGGTTGGTTCCATCTCTTTCATTTTTTCATCTCTTCATTTGGCACACGGTAGTTGTCTCAGTTGTCATTTAGCTTCAGTTTGCTCTTGGGGCCCTCAATTCAAGGTGTGTTGGAAATACAGGGGGGACATCAGCAAACAGAGGGAGAAAAGGAAGGTAAAAATTATAATTAATATTTTTATAATTTTAAGAAGGAGTACTCAGCATTCATTGGCATACTTCACATTTAATTTTAATAAATTTGTTTATTGAAGATCTTAATTTTAAAGTCTATTTTTATTTCTTTTGAGTCAAATATTGATATTTGCTACCATTACTTTATAATTTTTGCTTCAAATATCGAATACAGTATCGATTTATTGATATTTTCTACCTTCTTCATTTAGCAAGTTTTTCTCTATAATTCCCAAGTCGTTTTTCTACATATTTTATTACAGAAAAATTAAATAAACTCTATTATAAGCCCTATAAATAAACTCTACTAAATATTCTTTTAAATTGAAAGATTATTTTGTCTTTTTTCCAGTCTTTATAATTCCCAAATATGTATATAAAGTTCTTGGTGTACTTTAACTTCTAAATCAGTACAAAATCGCTAGCAAGATTGCATTTTAATATATTAAAACCTTCATAAATTAAAGAAACTATTACAAAAACTAAAATTATTTATTATTATTTATTTTCTATAACTTTACAACCCAAAAATTCTTTACAAAATGCCTTTCCTAACCTAATACCCCTCCCTTAAACCTCATATATTTTTCCAAGTGCATCTTACCCATCTACCCTAAGCTATAGTCGTGACTTGATTTATTTTTTCGGCCCGGACTTGTGTGTTTTCACATAAATTTGAATTATAGTCCCCGTCGTAAAGTCGCGCCGGGGCTGATGTGTCTATTTTAACAGTTAGTCTTCTTCTCTTGGCGAACGGCTGGCGATCTATCAATGAATCCGTAAGCTGAATGAACTGGCCCCAAAAAAAAAAAAACTTGATCTCCGGATCAGCTCATTTGATATGCGCGCAGCTTCAAAAAAAAAAAATCTTTTCTCAGTTTGTATGCTAATTTTGCGTTGTTCGGTTTTCGGTTTCAGTGCCGCGTTCATTGTTCGCTTTTTGTGGTTGTTGTTGTGTTTTATTTAATTTTAATTTTTATTTCGTAAATTTTAATTTTGTTGTCACTTCTGTAGCAGCAGCAAAGGTTTTTTCCCTATTTTTATTATAATTGGGGTGCGGTTCGGTAGTATTTTCTGCAGAACTCTATGAATCGACCCGATTGTTTAGGCAGCCGCCATAGGAATTAATAAAAATTTGTGGTTTATTTGGAATTTTTGTTTGTCTCTTTTTTTGGGTTATTAATTTGCCATAAAGAAGTAGGCAAAGTGTGTGGCAAAAGCTTTTAAAGTTTGGCAGAAAACAGAAGGAAAACGGTGTTCATTGTTTAAAGTTTAAAATTTAAATAAATTTGGAAAGCATATTTTTTAAATTCTGTAAAATGTAATTAAGAAATCACACTTCAAAACCTTGTCTCAGTACCCTTTATGGACCCTTTTTGTGACACAAATGTGTTCAAAAGTAGATTATTGACCATTAAAACACTTTACCACTTGATCTCATCCATATAAATGCATTGTAAGTCGGCTCTTATGGCACTTATCACCGACCAATTGATCTCGAAAGGTGTCAACCCATGTCTCCTCGGTTTCTAAATGGAAAATCTCCACCTTAAAACCTTGTAAATTGTGTGATTTTCTTTGGAACACACACACAATATACCCCAATTCTAAACAAATTACACCGGCCCACATGTATTTTTTCACCTGGATTCTAAGTTGATTTACGTTCAATTTAGTTCTTTTGGTCTTTTTTCTTTATCCTAAGC